GGCAGGAAGGTCAACCTGCCGAGACGACCGGCGCAGAAGAGGCGAAGAAAGTGGTAGGCAGCTGTACTGAAGTCAGGTTGGGGTAGAGAGGTCTTGCCGTTGTCGGCAACATGATCTTCTAGGACGCGCCGAGATGAGACATGCACGAATAGCCCACGGAGGGCGCTGATCCACGCCAACAATTCCGTCACACTGTTTGTTGGTCCTCGCATGTCGAAAACTTTAACGTACTCCAAACACTGTCTACGATTCAAGCAGAAGAGTAAGTAGTCAGCCAGCAGCTCTGGAAAAAAAAGAAGGTTCGATGTTCGGGTGAAGAGTGTAGGCCTCGGGTGCGTCTAACTTAGAATCAGTTGCGGGGCATTATAGAAAAGAAGGGGGTGCGTAATAGTCCTAGGGAGAAAAGGAATCGGCGTTTACTGCATATACCAGTCAGCCCAGTCAGAGGTGCATCATTCCGTTTGCATTCGTGCCTTTCTAGCACAATTTTGTTTGAAAGCAGAAGAGGTCCGTCTGCCTTGCCCTCTGAATTACAGTACAGGAGCTTTGGAAACTGTTGTATAGAAATATGCCAGAGAATTGAAAACGACATTTGTCCATAGTGACGCCTTTGGTAACATCAACTTGAATTTTAGTCTGCATTGTGACACCCACGTTTACAAACTTTATTAGGGAGACCTTCAAGCCCTTGTAGGTGACGAGGTCACAAACATGTCCATATACTTCGAGCTTAATGTTCGCAGGGCCTCTAATAGCTACATCCGACTCTGACCGTTTAATTGCATGTTTTAATGACACACTTGACACTCTGCAATACTCCACTCGGTAATGGTTCCGGAGTCACGGTAGTCTCACGCCAAAATTCGTGGGAATTTAGTTGAGACCATTACTTAGACACGGTAGACACAACCACTGGTAGTTAGCATTAAATGGTACAAAAAGAAGTGCAATTGCATATTCATAACAGAAACAGCTGAACTTTCTTTTTCCGAAGGCAGAGATGAGTACGCTGATGTCCAAAAGGGACAGGGCGAGTTCCTCCCGCTGAGCAAAAGTAAATTCCAATATGGTCTCCAAACCCAAATCAAATTGGTTAGAATTTTGCAATAGTGAAGGGGAGGAAACAAGGGAGTAAGCGCAAAGGCCGATCACAAGCCTCTCTTATGGATTAGTTCGATGGACACGTACCCCTGTAGTCGGGCTGACTCAAAACTATTTTTAGCTGCTGCCCAAACCGTACACAGCTATCTTAATCTCCCAAGAAAGTAATCTCGGGGTGGACGGGGTCTAAGACCCTTCACGACTTTCTATAATTGGCACGAAGGTTTTTAGGTATAAGATACATTCTGACTTTCTGGCCACCGAATCGTAAGCCAGAAGAGCATGATGGCGCAAAAAATGTGAGAAGTTAAAAAATTTGACTGTTGGTCATCCGAGCCCGCTTCACTTCGAGTGAGGAACCGTAAAATAGGCGTAAGGAAATGCTAGTTCTTTGATTGCGTCACGGTCAAAGCGTAGGATTTGTTTTTGAGTAAACAAATCCCGAGGACTGTTTCTAGAATAACAAATAACAGTGCTTATTTTGTTCAACAAAAACAGAGAGCAACCCATTACATAAGGCTAAAACGTGTAGTCATATCGCTCAAGCTAGTGACTGCCACAGGCCACGGCACAGCGAGTGCGGAGGTATGCCACGTTTTCATGCGCGGCATATTATACATCGGAAAGCCGCACAGGGGTATGTGTAGGCGAATGTGTACTCACAAAGTTAACCCCATTTGGA